CGGACAGTACAGGGATGACCAGTGACTGCGGACAGTACAGGGATGACCAGTGACTGCGGACAGCACAGGGATGACCAGTGACTGCGGACAGCACAGGAGATGACCAGAGACTGCGGACAGTACAGGAGATGACCAGAGACTGCAGACAGTACAGGGATGACCAGAGACTGTGGACAGTACAGATGACTGCTGACCTTTGGGGAGGGAGGGGGAGCGGGTACCTGAATTTGACAGGTACCCGCTCTTACTTCCGCAGTTTTTTTTTTATCTTACCTGTTCCTCTATCCAGCCGCGCGCTGTCTTCCCGGCTTCTGTAGTGTGGGCGCTCGGCGGACAGCCGGATGCCCAGTGCGCATGCGCGAGAAGCGCTGCGCTTTGTGATTGGTCCGGCGGCTTCTGGGATCTGTCATGTGTCCCAGGTACCGCCTTACCATTCACAAAGAGCACTGCTTCTTGCGCATGCGCACTTGGGACCCGGCTGTCACGCACACTACAGAAGCCGGGAAGACAGCGCGCTGCTGGATAGAGGGACAGGTAAGGTCCCACTGCAGAGCTGAGCGGCCGGCCCGGTATTCTGACACGGCAGCGGTGGAAATACCGGACCGGCCGCTCCATATTCGCTCCATAAGATGCACTGACATTTTCCCCCCCTTTTTTGGGGGAAAAAAAGTGCGTCTTATGGAGCGAAAAATACGGTAAATGTTTTAGCACTGTAAAATATAGGTTAATGTGAATAACTTTTGGTGTGATTTACCAAATGATCTGAAAGTTTCAGAATATGTTGACATAGATAGAATCTTCTAATGTGTAAAGTTTGGGGGAGATTGGTCAATATCTAAGCTTTTTTTGTACGTTAAGCCACATTAAGCTCCCCCAAAAAACAAGCTTAATGTCCCCCATTTTCTTTGTGGAAGGCTGAAATCTATGAAACTTCTAGGACATGTTTGGGACATTTAGAACTTGCTCTGTGCAAAGTTTCAAGTCAATAGATTGATATTTAGGCACATTATGGTACGTTAAGCTCATTTTACATTAAGCTGTTCACATTAAATGTTTTAGCACTGTAATATATAGCTTAATGTGAATAACTTTTGGTGTGATTTACCAAATGATCTGAAAGTTTCAGAATATGTTGACATAGATAGAGTCTTCTAATGTGTAAAGTTTGGGGGAGATTGGTCAACATCTAAGCTCTTTTTTGTACGTTAAGCCACATTAAGCTCCCCAAAAAACAAGCTTAATGTCCCCCATTTTCTTTGTGGAAGGCCGAAATCTATGAAACTTCTAGGACATGTTTGGGACATTGAGAACTTAGGCTGTGCAAAGTTTCAAGTCAATTGATTGAGATTTAGGCAGTTTATTACACGTTAAGCTACATTAAGCCATTTTCACATTAAATGTTTTAGTCTGTCCCCTTTGGGATACAGAGTAAAAATAAATAATTAATATCAATAAACTGTTGTGTTATATATTTGAAATAAAATCTTTATTATTTTTTGGCAATAACAGTGTGTAGGCGGATTTCTGCCACCCACAGATTGTCACTCCCCTCCAGCCCATGTCTTGGAATAACAAGGAAGTAAAGCCTCCATCAATCAACATGTAATATCCCACTCCCACTGTGTTTAGCTGGTTAGTGGGCATGGAGGAGGAGAGAGTGCTCGGTCATTTACCATTGTGTATATGCCCACATGTGTGACTTTAAAGATATGATAGGGAGGAAATGCTAAGCATAGAAACTCACTGAAAACTGAGCATGTGCACTGGCTGCCAACACTGCTTTGCAAAATCCCCAACTGAATTGGGGACATGGACAGAAGGGGGAGACAGAGAACAGCAGGATTAACCAGAGTTTTTTTTGCAGAATCCCATAGTGAATGAGTATGAACAGCGTGTAATACAGCATTTGATAGTTTTTTTTTCATGATGTGGGTTTAATGACACGTTAAGTATTAAAGGAGCTATCCTATGAGATTTTTAATATTTGTCATTTAGCACCTGCTGTCCTGGAGGAATCCAAAATGGCTACTCCCATGGACAGTAAAATCATAGTCCTTTGTGAAGAGTATATGTGCTGTGAACTGCTATAATTCAGAAACTTATTACAACTTCTTTGGTTGACCATTGGACTGTCTATCAGGTCTGTGCCAGCCTACTGCAGACCTTATAGGCAGCCTAACTGTCAACTGAAGGAACATATGTGGCAGGCTGACAACACTGCTGCTGATTGCAAAGCAGCAACTTAGGGTGGTCAGCCTGCAACATGAAGTGCTGTTACTGGCAGGATCTCCAGGTAAGAAACTTTGCAAAATATTCAAAATGGTACAGTGTATACAGTGAGACTTAGTATGTCAAATCAGCTTCATTTTCATTGAAAGCTTCGATTGCGACCAAGCTGAGGTTAGAAGCATGCTAAGGATAGATTTGGGGTTTATATATACAGTATTATTATTATACAGGATTTATATAGCGCCAACATTTTGCGCAGCGCTTTACAAAATGAAGGTAAACATTACAGTTACAATACAATTTGGTACAATTAATAATTTGATAATTAAAATTATCTTTTAAAGTTTAACTGTTTTTCTTTTTTCAATTGTTTCTTTTGTATTTTTTTTTCTAGGGAGGACTGGCAGGAAATGGTAAACAGGGAAATTAAATCTATCTTCTGGAAAGCCAGGAAAAGTATATCTTTGGCCAAAAAAGCATCATTTGTAGGACTTTTGTAACGGGCCGCCTCTGAATTCTCTGGAGAAGGATGTTTTCATTTTAGAGGACTCCGTTACTGAAAAGTTTCTTGCAACGAACGAGGACTCTCTAAGGCAGAAGATTTAACAGTTGGATGGATGAAATTGAGGAAGTCTCTCAAGTCTCGGTATTGAGGCTGGACAAGATGACTTCACAGATAATGTAGTTGCATTGTAGAGTGTTTTCTAATGCTAAGTTTGTACACACTGCTGTGTTTACAATGGTGGTCATCCACAAGAAACTGTACGGAGTGTCAATGCTCCCCTCAAGTTCACGACTTTTCTCTGGGCATCATGACCCCAAAAAGTTCATGTATATCTTTTAGGGCTTGTTTAGGACATGTTAAATTAAATTGCTTGTTCCAATGGATCCCAGGCCGACTTAAATGTTTGATGTTCTGTATTAAATACTGTGCAAGGAAAGACCAAGAAAAAGGGAGAGATAAAAAACAACTAATAGAACAAGCACTGGAAGCAGAAAAGCAAAACTCCGTAATTAAAAAATTAAAGTAAAGAATGTAAAGACATAAAATAATATACTACTTAAAGTGAGCCTTGCACTAAAACACAAGGTCTGCTTGTTCACTAGTGGACCCCCCAATGTATGATCCTTTGTACATTCATTTTTGTCCTCGGTTTTTTTTTTTTATGTTCAAGGATTACAGGGTTCTGGGCTACTGGTATTAAACAAACCTTGCATTTTAGTGCAGATTCATTTTAAATGGAAGCTATAGTTTTTTTATACAGCTTTTTAGGTATATATGTAAATGTGATTAATTATCTGTATATAATCATATTAAGTGTCAATGTTTTAAAAAGGTTGTTTCTATGTATAGTATGTAAATACATATGTTTATGGGGCAGTTATATTTGCTCATTACATACTCCCTGCATAATAGTGCTGCACAATGATTGTACTTCATTGTCCTGCTCTCTCGATACAAGTCTATGTGGTCGATTTACAAAAGGCAAATAGGCTGCGCCCTTTGGAATGGAATTTTCCCAAGAGATTAGTTTATGAGATGAGCCTTTGCTGACTGCTATCATTCTAATCATGTGCAAGCAAAACATTTATTTTTTTAATTTTCCTTGAACATGATTGGGTATTCTTTGCAGTGATTTTTCAGCACAATTCCCCTGCAAAGTGAACAGCCTATTTGCCTTTAGCAAATCAACTCCAATTGGGTCAGGTTCCCGTATGGAAGAAAAATATATTTGAAATATATTTTAAAAATATGCTTCCCAAATATATTGTCATATATTTGAAATGCTACATCTTTGGCCATATTCAATATATTTCAACAAACATATATATATATATACATACACACACACATATATATATATATATATATATATTATATATATATATACATACATATATATATATATATATATATATATATATACATACACACACTGCATGTTGAAATGCGTTTGTATTACAAAATATATGAAAAATATTTTAAAAATACATTTCACATATACTGTATGTCTTTAAAAATACAAATGCTCATTTTTGGAATGCATTTACAAATATATGTAAAAATATATGTTAAAATGACTTTTATATGTAAAAAAAAAAAATCTGAAGAATATATTTTAAAAATATATATTTTTTAAATATATGCTTCAGATTTTTTTTAACATATAAAAAAGTCATTGTAACACATATTTTTAAATGCATTCCAAAAATGTAGATTTGTATTTTTAAAGACGTACAGTATATTTTAAAAATATTTTTCATATAATTTGTAATAAAAACGCATTTCAACATGATATATATATATATATATACACACTCACACACACATATATATATATATATTATTATTTTTTTTTAATATATCGAATATGGCCAAAATTGCAGCATTTCAAATATATGGCAATATATTTAGGAAGACCATTTTTAAAATATATCTCAAATATATTTTTCTTCAATGTGGGTTGGTCCAGACTAAAAAATACTGTCTGTAAGTTTAAAGCAGGCCATACACTGTTAGATTTTAATCAGCCCGTGGACTATACAGCGTGGATAGGTGTATCTCCCACTGTGCCTATTATTATATTCTGACAGCCTCCCAAGCAGCAGCTGCCTCTGATTGGATTAATGCAGGCCATAGATGGGTCAAAAATCGGCCGATTTTTCGGCCGAAAATAAAATCGGCCGATTTTCGGATCGTTAGTGGGCTATTTGGTCGGCCGTTTTCCGGTATTTTGGCCGTTTTTTTTTTCTGTAAAGTTGGAAAAAAATTGGCCGATTTTGCCGATCGGCCGATTTTCGCGGCAATAGTGGGCAAATCGGCCGATTTTTTGCCGATAAAAAAATCTGCGCATGAGCAGTGACCTGCAAGAGGAAGAAGAGGAAGAGGATGAAGAAGAGGATGAGGAAGAAGAAGAGGATGAGGATGAAGAAGAAGAAGAAGAGGATGAGGAAGAGGAAGAAGAAGAAGAAGAAGAGGATGAAGAAGAAGAAGAAGAAGAGGATGAGGATGAAGAAGAAGAAGAGGATGAGGATGAAGAGGATGAGGATGAGGATGATGAAGAAGAAGAAGAAGAGGATGAGGATGAAGAAGAAGAAGAGGATGAGGATGAAGAAGAGGATGAGGAAGAAGAAGAAGAGGATGAGGATGAAGAAGAAGAGGATGAGGAAGAAGAAAAAGAGGATGAAGAAGAAGAAGAGGATGAGGATGATGAAGAAGAAGAGGATGAGGAAGAAGAAGAGGATGAGGAAGAAGAAGAAGAGGATGAGGATGAAGAAGAGGATGAGGAAAGAAGAAGAAGAAGAGGATGAGGAAGAAGAAGAAGAAGAGTAGGATGAGGATGAAGAAGAAAGAAGAAGAAGAGGATGAGGATGAAGAAGAAGAAGAAGAAGTAGGATGAAAATAAGAAGAATTCCAGTACAGCAAAAAGTGTCTCTGCAGAGAGCTCCGCTATTTCTGACAGTTCTCTGACAGTTCTTTGACATTTACAACGGTTGCAACAATGTATCTATTTGTTTCCGAATAAAAACATCTGTATCCTAAATGGAAACAAATAGATACAATGTTTCAACCGCTGTAAATGTGAAGGAACTGTCAGAGAACTGTCAGAAATAGCGGAGCTCTCTGCAGGGACACTTTTTGCCGGCTGTAGAAGGGATGAAAATCGGCCGATTTTTTTTTTTTCATTGATGGTAACGTCGGCCGCTTGAACGACCGATTTTTCGTTTTTTAAAAGAAAAATCTGCCGTTTTTCTCCCCATCTATGGCCTGCATTAGGCAATGTTTAGATGAACATTTTCAGCTTGGCTTCAATCAAAGGATTTCAGGCAGGTGAGGGGAAGCTGGGCCACCCATATAGATGATTTCTGCCAATACGTTAGGATGCGGAAAAAATTGGCACAGTGTACGACACTATGATTAAGTTGGCTCTGCTCAACAGTCTTTAAAGGGCTTCTGTTAAAAGTAATTGAAGTGAACTTAAATGAAACTGAAAGTGGTACCCCAAGCTGCCCGCTACAATATCTCTTCTACAAAAAGAGTATTTTCTTTTTGCTATGGAGCCTTAATTTAGGGCACTGATTACCACCCATAAGAATTCAAAAGTTGATTCTCCTTGGTAAAAAGAAAATATTCCTATATGGGGAATGCATGAGCCTGGAAAAGTTATATCAAAAAAGACATTTAGTCAGATATTACAGTTATTACATGTTGAAAAATATACTATAGCTTACCTTAAAGACAACTACACATATTTTTGTACTTTATGGACCAAACCCAAATAAAATGAGAAAAAAAAATAAAAAAACAAAAAAGCAATTCTTAGAGAAAAGCAAAGAAAATCACAATGGAGTGGAGACATAGTTAAAATAATGCAGCTTTATGTCTGTCATTCAAGTCTACTGCATAACTAAAGAATGTATTACTCGGTTAATGATGGCTCTTTCAGGAGAGCCGGAAAAGGGGAGTATAATAGAAAAGCATACAGTATAAAAAAGCGAAATATTACGCAAAATAAGGTATGATTTAAAAAATAGCTCACTTTGGTTTGTGTGCGCATAAACACTAAAGTATTGAGGAAAAGACTTTTAGCTAGTTATATTAACATTTTATATATACAAACATGTATATATAAAATGTTTTCGGGGACATACCCCGAAAGCTTGTCCTCAAAATTGTATGTTAGTGCTAATAAAAAAAAGTATCACGGACAGTACTCAATTGTTTATATATAGAAACACAGAGTCATTCAAATCCAATAAATTATACCTTCTGGAATAATATTAAACATATATGTTACCTCAACATACTATTAAAATAGTATAAAAATTTTTGAACAAACAGCTTATAACATTATTATATCACTTTTAAAATGGTTCTTTTGATTATTTGCTGTTGCTATTTTTTTCAAATGTTAGGTTTACCTTAATTGCTTGGCCACAGAAAATTAGCTCTCAGACATATTGCTGGAAATTATGTTTTTATCAATATCTAGTATTCACTGTATTAAAAACAAAGAGAAAATCCTTAACACATCAGATTTTCTGTTTTCTTGTCTAACATGACAATATACTTATAAATTGAAAATGAATGTCACTTTAATACTGAATTCTAAAATTTTACAAACATTAATGTTAGGTTTTATTTTTCCAGTTCTGACCATCTAATTTTTACCACAATTATTTTGGAAACACAAATGTGCAATTAGTAGGTAAATAATACATCATAGTTAGTAAAGAATCCTTTTAAAAATATAAAAAAAAAGATTATCCAAAATAATACAACTTGAACATATTTAGATTTTAATGGGTTCAACCAAAACTGTACATAGTGTAAGTTTTAAATATATAACTTAAATGAAGTGTTACCTCTTCATTAAACTTTTGTCTTCTGAAAAATATTACCTAGCTTTGCTTTTGCCTTAAATTAGCACTCCCATTTGTCACAGTAATTTATTTTTATTGCTGTTCTTTAATAAAACGGCACTACAAGTAAATACTTATGTAAAAAAAAAGAGTGCTGGAACCTTCCTGATTGTTGTATCTTCAAATACCTAATTATTTGCATGGGGAATTTAAGGTGGATCTTAAACTTTTTTTTTTTTTATAGGTTTTGGATATTGTTAAATTATTAGAACCCCAGTCACACTTTTATTGCTGTGCGTGTCTCTGTTATAGAGAGGATTTACCTAAATTTGGAAAAATAAATTCTCACTCACTGCTGTATCTTCAGGACAGGAAGTGAGCTCCAGCAGGCATTAAAATCTCCAGTGTCAGCTGGTATTGGGGCCTAGAGAGAACGGTGGTGTTACCATCTTTGTCATGTGACAGTATTCGCTAGACCCCAGCACTTCTCCATACCAAAGAGCACTGGAAAACCCCAGGTATATTGCGCTGACTGCATTAGAGGAAGGAGCAGTGAGGGATTTTTATGGGAAGATCGGGGTTCCTTTTCACACTGTTACTACCTTGAATGGCCAATGACAGTGTATCTTTAATACATAATCAAGGCAAAAAAATCCCTTGCATTATTTTGCATTACATTGACACATTATAGCATTTTAAGCTGTGAACCCTTGTTACTAGCATTTGATAATTAATAATATTTATTATTTAATAATAATTAGTAATCAATTAATTAGTTAATTGATATCCCTGTTTTGTTTTTTGACAAACTGAAGTGGATGGTTAACAATATAATACGATAAGATTATAGGGTTATACATAAAACACTCCTTTGTATTCAACACAATTTTATTCGACGGTCGAACATGTGTAGCAAGGTTTCATTAGGTTAATTAGAAATATAAGTAACATTAAATTAAAATATAGCAGTTTTCAGAATTTGAAGAATTTGCAGAATAAGTAGCTAATCTGTGTGCAATTCTACCAAAACAAATAGCAGTTATAGTTTTGACTATTCAGAATAACGAAAACAAACTTTATGTGTGTACGTAATTGATTGGGGCAAAGTTTGATGTAAATATGCCTACTTGATGGCCCAATGGGATCTTTATGTGTGTTGTAATGCAGTATGTAGTTGATTATAAAGCATACATTCCATGATTATATAGACGGCAGTTAGTACTAGACCATACTATATATTTTTATATGTGCAATATTTTTAGGTTTGTACAATATATTTCTGTAAATAAATATACTTTGGTTAAGATTTGGTAACATTTTGTGTCGTCATTTGGCTAAATAAATACAGAGAATAGAGAATTTTATGAACCTGAAAATTTGTTGCTGAAAAAATCTATCAGTAAAAAAATAAAATAAAAAAACACCCCCCTCCACCCTCCAATCTCTGCACTCCTTGGACTCCTTAGAATCTCAATAGTGATGTATCTACCCCTAAATTTTGCTAGTCCTGTAGCAGTTTTTTGCTACACTAACTTACAAGCTTTTTCTCTTTACAGAATCTCTCATTTAAAAAATTAAGTCAAAGGGGTTTTAGTAACAGCTTCTACAAAAGAGCCCTGTGGCCATCATAAAATGTATTAAACAAAATTTTTAGTTTCAAAGTCAGAATTCTGAGTTTTTTTTTAATTCAGAATGCTGAGATTTAAAGTCAGAACACTGAGTTGAAAATCAGAATTCTGAGAATCCTAAAATTTATTAAACAAAATTTTTCAAAAGTCAAAATTTTTATTTTTTTTTTTTAATTTAGAATTCTGAGATTCAAAGTCAGAATTCAGTTTCAAAATCAGAATTCTGATTATCAAAGTCAGAATTGTGAGAATTAAAAAATTCTGAGTTTCTTTAGGGACCATCCTAAAATGTATTAAATACAATTCTGAGTTTCAAGGTCAGAATTCTGATTTTCAAAGTCAGAAGTCTGAGTTTCAAATTCAGAATACTGAGAATGAAACTCAGAGTTCCGATTTTCAGTCAGAAGACTAAGATTAAAAGTCAGATATCGGAGATTAAATCAGGTTGTCAGAATGCTGAGTACCAGAGTCAGAGTTCTAAGAATAAACCTTGGGACCATCCTAAAATGTATTAAGCAAAATTCTAAGCTTCAAAGTCAGAATTCTGATTTTCAAAGTCAGAAGTCTGAGATTAAAAGTCAAAATTCTGAGATTCACAGTCAGAATTCTGCTCTTCGATACAGCTTCAAAGTAAAAGTAGTTACAAAGTTGCAATAAAATTTGCTCAAATGTTTGCAATATACTATACTATAATATAGTATTGATTAGGCTTTATTTTACAGTACTGCACTTTTCTTGCAAAGCCCCCAGACCTCCTAAACTTCCCCAAATTTTATCTAATCCAAAGCAGTAACTGCAGCACTTAAAAATTAATAATGAAAATCAAAGTTTCTTAAATTAGATTTAAGTATCTTCATATGCAACTTGTTGTAATGATATCATGTAATGGGTACACAAAAAAGCCGTGTCTGGCGGGCATGTTGTTCAGGAATCATAGTTTAGTCATGAAGGTTTTGTAGAATAGTGCACATAGCAGCAGCCTGTTAATTTAGTCACTTTTCAAAGACCCTGCTATCTTAACTTAGGGACAGCAGACACCAATACACAGGCCTTTACCAGAGCTGTAAATATGTAATTGAGCCTCTGGCAGGATGTCTGTTAATTTCTGCTAACCATAAACATCTACAGATTATCACTTTCTTCTGACCCATTGTAAAAAAGTCACAAAATTCTTCAGTTCTATCAACAATGGGCAATCAAACCCATGAGGAATATACACATGCAGTAAAATGTCTTACCCATGGCTAACGGGTATCGTAAAGACAGCCAGGCTTGAGGCAACCTTTCTTGAGACATTAGTTAAAGATAGTTATTTAGAGGTTGTATAATAAATTACCATATCACCCAATAGATGGCCTCCATTCAGTAGCCAAAAAAGACATGCACAAAAAAGGGGGGTTGTGAAAAGAAATTCACAGAGA